AGATGTAATTTTCTCCGAGAATGAAGTCAGTCACGAGTCAAAAGTCAAACAACTTCAGACCAAATTCCCCGATTTTAGAAGACGACTTCGAACTCCGAAACCCTTTTTGCGGTTAAAAATAGAATTTCAAGTACGAAGCTCCACGACAATGGATTCGAGCTCTTCTCCTTTGAACACGATCTCCGTGAAAGGTACAATCCCTGTTGCTTCAACTTTCGTCTCTCCTTCGATCAATTTCCCGTCGCCTCCAGCCAATGATTCCTCTGGCGACCGGAAACCCATTGCTCTGTGGCCAGGAATGTACCATTCGCCAGTGACCACCGCCTTGTGGGAAGCCAAGTCGAAGATCTTAGTGAGACAGCTTGACCCGCCGAAAGACGCGCCTCCGCAGAGCTCGTTGCTTACGAAAACTCCGTCGCAAAGCAGTACTTGTATACTGTATACCTTCTCGTCAGATTTTGTTCTCAGAGAACAGTATAGAGATCCATGGAATGAGGTTCGAATCGGGAAATTGCTTGAAGATCTTGACGCCCTAGCTGGAACTATTTCCGTCAAGGTACGTTGTTTTGAATCCTCCCCTTCGTCGTTTAATGAATTTTGGGGGAAATGCAAATGCCCAATGGAGCTCAACTTCGCTGAAAGTATGCTTCAACTTTTAAAACCCTAAAAGTTTACATGGTTTAAACCCTTTGATCAATTTGTCGCATTCAACTAGAAGACGAGTATAAGTTACAAGATGTGAAGTGTGGAATTCATCGAACATTTATGCAGTAACCAAAGAATTGTTCGTGCTGATATTGAATTTCTACGTATTGCTTTCACAGTTCCAAGGATCTTTCCCATCCTCAGAATCCTAAAGCTTTGTTTTCTGGCCAATCTAAATTCTAGACTTTGTTGCTTTTTAAAACTGAGAATTTGGATGAGATGGAATGAGAATGATATTTTTTAAAAAAAAAAAATTGTAGTGTGTTTGAAACGAATTTCTTGTCTTTACAAGCAGTGTTCCTTTTCTTTCTATCACTATTTGAAGGAAATCAGATTCTTTTGCAGCAGCAGCAACACAGCGGATTTTGTGTTTGTATTTAAAATTTTAATTCTTTTTTTAAAAAAATAAGATGTAAAATAAAACTAATCTGTTAACAGCTAACTTTAAGAAAACCAATAAAAAAATAATTAAACTAATCTCTTAACAGCACTTTTCATTTCATTGTAATTGCTTATGTGGGCTCTTCCTTCTTATGATATGATTTTTTTTAGTGTAGAAGTGAATGATAATGGGGATGACCTGTGCTTTAGCCATTGGTGGATCTGGTTGAAAATCTATTTGTTTTGTGTGTGTAGTAAATGAATCATTTCTTGTGCCTTCAAATTCACAACTTGAAAACATTTATTTGAATTCTGAACCGGGTACAGCTTGAAATTCTTGGGTCAACAACTTTTTCCTCGTTGCTTGCAGCGATTCAGTGTGTTAAATGGCTTGCCAGATTCTAAAATAAAATCAACTCTACATGTTAAGCATGCCCGGTGCCCCAAGTTTTACATAACTAATTTCTATTTTCCTGCATAAACAGCACTGCTCTGATGATGATAGCACAACAAGGCCACTTTTACTGGTCACTGCTTCTGTAGACAAGATTGTGCTGAAGAAGCCAATTAGTGTTGACATTGATCTCAAAATAGTTGGTTCTGTTATATGGGTTGGACGGTCCTCAATTGAGGTCCAACTTGTGGTCTCTCAGTCCAAAGAAGGTGCTTTACTTTTGACTCACATAACTTTAAAAATTTTACAGTGCCAAAACTTCAAACAGACTAGTCTCTCATTGGCTAGCGTGTTGTTTTGTTGGTAACTTTTTTATTTGCTATCCATGTTATATGGCCTACTCCAACACATCTGTTTCAACTAGTGAACTGGCTATTGAACCAGTCTTGTTCTGACAAATACACTCTTTGCTTTAGATTTGATTGACTGGTGAGCTGAAGTTTTTGAGCCAGGCCCATTTTATGTTTTTGCATTGATTAATTTTATATTATTTCATATAGATATGAAATACCAAATTGAATCTTGTTTGCTTTGCATCTGCTTTGTGGTTGGATTTCTAAGAAGCATTTATAAAATGCTTGCAGAGAGCTCTGATGATTCAGGCTCAGTAGCACTGACAGCTAACTTCATATTTGTTGCACGAGACTCAAAAACTGGACAGGCGGCTCCAGTTAATCGACTTTCACCTGAAACTGAACATGAGAAGTTACTTTTAGAGCAACGTGAGGCAAGACATAATTTGAAAAAACGGAGAAGAGAGGGGGAGTGGAAAGATTTGGAGAATGGAGATGTAAACAGACTCAAGGCTCTGTTGGCTGAGGGAAGAGTTTTCTGTGACATGCCTGCTTTGGCTGATCGTGACCGCATTCTTCTGAGGGATACCCGCCTCGAGAACTCTCTGATATGCCAGCCTCAGCAGCGAAACATCTATGGCCGAATCTTTGGAGGATTTTTAATGCATCGAGCATTTGAATTAGCTTTCTCAACGGCATATGCTTTTGCTGGATTGGTTCCTTGCTTTCTTGAAGTTGATCATGTTGATTTCTTAAAACCTGTGAGTATTTTGTCCTTTGTTTTACACTTCCATCATATCAATACCATAATTACTACTATTAGCAAATCCCGATGGCAATATTTTTTAAATCCATACCCTTAATTAGCTCATCTATAGCATCATTTTTATAGCATAAGCACGCAGGGAATATTGTTTGAAAATATTGTAATCAAATCAAATTCGACTATGCTACTGGAAAAGGAACATATGTGATTGAGTTGGCATATTGTTTGTGTTTGAAAACCTTGAGAGAGGAAGAGAAAAAGGCTAGACCTTTGCGCTTTTTGGTTCTAGCCTACATGGGTTCTTATGCGCGCGTTCTCGCAGTATTGTGAACCTGCCAATGCTTCGCTATTCTTTTTTATCAACTCGTTTGCATGAAATGTGATCTGATGCAACTTATGCTATAAGTTGTTTTAACTGATTGCTTGATCTCTATAATGGTATATGTGAATGAAAATCAAGCTCTTTGCATGTAAATTGTAAAGACCACAATTTATTGACCAGGTGGATGTCGGAGATTTCTTGCGTTTCAAGTCCTGTGTTCTTTATACCGAACTTCACAATCCAGATCAGCCACTGATCAATGTTGAAGTTGTTGCACATGTTACGAGGCCTGAGCTGCAATCTAGCGAAGTTAGTTTCACTCAACTACCCTTTGGACAATAAAATTAAATCGTAGATTAATTCTTCTTGCGTCCAAGCCATTGAAAAAAATAACAACTTTTCTCTTCCCTGTTTTCTTTGTCTGATACAGGTATCAAATACTTTCCATTTCACTTTCACAGTACGTCCTGAAGCAAAGGCAATGAAAAATGGCTTGAAACTTAGAAAGGTAGTACCAGCAACAGAAGAAGAAGCTCGTTTGATATTAGAGCGCATGGATGCTGATAATTTGCAATGACTCAGAGAAGGGTCATTTATACTTAGGTGGAATAAGCAGGAATTTGCAGGTAAAACTCCACATGCTAAGAGGTAGGAGAAACTTCATGCCTGTAGCTTTTTCAAAGAAAATGGAGGTAAGGTTATAACTAAGTTGTAATTTAAGGTACTTATTTTACCATGGTCCATGATGTATTTTGGAGCCCAAGTGTGGGTTATTTTGTAACATTTTCCACTCAATACCAATGGAGCTAATTAATGGCACAAAATCTGTCATTGGATTGCGTAATTGGGAACTTGTACTCTGAAAACTTGCATATGAATCTTTATTCTTTAGGTTGCCAAGACAATGTTATCTGCATTGATGATCATAGATGAACAGACTGTCTTCCCATTGGTCGTGTGATTTTAAATGCCACTAGATCATCATAGAGCGCATGGATTCTGATAGCTTGCAATGATTCAGAGAAGGATCATTTATACTTCAATAAATTAATGTGCGGTTTTTTCAAAGGAAATAGGGATATTTTTTTACAGGGTAAAATGGATGTAGTAAAGTTATAATTAGCATTTACTTCAAGAAGGAAAATTGTATGTTTCGCTACTTGTAACATTTACAAAGAAAAATGTTTTAACTAGTTTTTTCGTATCCTTAATTTAATGTTTGATTTGACAGGTTGCCAAAGAAAACGTTTAAACCCTTTTTATAATTTTAAACAAAGCCAGGAAAGATGTGTTGTTGGAGAGGCTCCCACATGTTGGTTCAACAGATTAAAGTAAAATGCGATCAGATCTATCTTGAAAAAAATTACCAAGTAGTTTGCAATCAGTTGGTCAAAGTGTATATATATAGTTGTTAATAAAAAATAAATAATTAAATTGGAGGGCCCACATAAGTTTTGGTTAGATGACCCTCAAACCTGTCATCAAGAATGTATCTTTTTTTTATAGTTGTTTTCCTTTCTTACTTCAGAATTTAACTAAAGGATGCTGTGTATTAGTGAATGCTTCAAAATATTGATAATCAATATCTTTTTTATTCCTATACAACTTGGATATAAAATTAAGAGTCAATTTAAATTTACATTTTTAAATCTATCACATCACTCACTCGAGACAAATTAGTTACAAATCCATTTTTTTATTCCTCTTGGAACAGTATTAGAAAGTAGAAACCCTACAAATATAAATAATTTCCCCTAAATTTAAACCGCTAAAATTTTATTTTTGAAATTCGTAAACAAAATATAAATGAATGCAGATCCGTTATTGCTGGCTAATACCCGGGGAAAAATAGAAGATCAAATACAATTCATCATCCTCTTTCCCTTGCCAAATTAGCCATAACATGCCATGCATGGAATGGCCTCACAAGCCCATTACCTTCACTCTGTATCCAATGGCTTCCCAAATGAAAAATGATTGATAGAACTATTGAATAGCTTTATACTCATGGTTATAAGTTATAATCTAACAATGCACATCCTATTCATATAGCATGGCAAACTTATTCTTCCAAAAAAATAAAAAACAGCTTCTACTCTACATATAATCTTATATATAACATATAACTCAAATCTTTTACATGGATTTTTACAATTTTTAAACAGAAAACCAAAAAGAGTTGCATCATTTTGAGCAGACCATACACGCTCCCACCAGTCAAAAACACCTGGTACCAGGTTGTTTCTACAAAAGATGCAGCCATGAACCTCAGGGATAAGATAAGAACCTTGTAGCTATGGAGAAGGACTGTCATCATCTGAAGAGCTGTAATGTCTCTTTCCATATAATCCAGGTAGGGGTTGTGGAAGCATAGGGTTTAGGGGTTGCGGAAGGAGGGGGTTTACTGGAACTGGGAATCTATGGGCAGAACTAACCATGGTCCTCTCGTTTATTAAACCGACTTCTTTGCAGACTCGGTCAAGAACCGATAAGAAATCTCTCACCACCATGAAGATTCTGAATGGATGAGCTTCTTCCTTTGCCAAGTTACCATGGAAATACTCTGTAATCTCCTTCACTAACGAAAGAGCAACACTTTCTTGGGCTTGAATCTTCAGGATCTCCTCCTCAGCCATCATCATAAATTTGTTCATTGATTCTGTAAATTTGTTACCACTTTCATCTTGCTTTGTCGCTTTGTTTAGTTTCACCACCTCTTTTATGTAAGAAATTCCTTTAGAAAGTTTGGAGACATCACCATTGAGAACCTCAGAATCCATAGCAGCAGCCTTCTTTACGTTTGCTAGCTCTGAACTCAGGCTCGAAACGACTTGTAGACCAAGCCTCCTACACTTGGCATCTTCGCTCGAAGAGGAGTTTGAAGTTTGTGGAGTACTCGAGAGACGAGCACCCTCAGTTCTTATAATTTCCTGTACAACAAAATGCAGTAGGGTGGTCTTCCCATCGGCGCCTTTAACATCAACAAGCTTGAGAAGCGTATCAAGCTTAAAGGCATGTGCATCGCCACGGTTTGTCCCCACATTCATACGGTTCCCCGTTTTGAGCACAGCCTCTAGAAGTTTCAAGAACATTCTACTGTTGCGCAGCTCCTCACAGGCAGCCTGCAAATTGGGTGCCATAGGAAAACTATGTTTCATCTTTTGACTTGTGCAAGAGGGGGTCATGGAGGGTAAAAAGGGGCATATGATTATTAAAATCTGAATGGCATGTTCTGAGAAAACAAGGATAAGCAGCATCACACGGAAAATACTGGAAAGAAGCTAGGGAGGTGTTAGCTAGAATGTCGTGGTGCATTTGATATGTGTGCACGTGCGCAGGTGTGCCAATGAAAGGATTCTCATTTCTCTTTTATTTTTACAATGTTTATCATGCCAGTTGTACTCATAATTCAAGGCTTTCTAATCCTTTCTATTATTTTTATGATCAATTTCCACCATTAAAATCACTTTCTGGATTCCACTAACTTTGAGGGTTAAAAAAGGTAAAGGATGCACATAAGGTCCCAGGGCTTGTCTCCATCACACAACAATCTATTATTCACTGCAATTATTGCAACTTTTTTCTCGTGTCACCTCAGATTGAATGTTAGATAATATTCTAACCACATTTCATGTTGAACGGCAATCAAAACCAATAAGAATGTATTGATCTTTCAAGAAATAGGTTAACCATATCTACAATTTCACTTTGACACCAAAAGATGTGATGTGATGCAAATAATGCAGACACAGTAAATTGAAAAAGAAAAAGTCGGAGAGAATGGTTACCTCCAGAGTTTCAAACGACTTCCTGAGATACTCAACTTCAGACTCAAAATTAGCCATGTAAAGCATGGCTTCCACCCTTTTGAACGCAAATGGTACATCAAGCACAGCCTTCAAGAATTTCTCTGCAGGACCAAGTTTGGTTGGTGAGTCATCTTTATGTTCCTTCAGTTTACGTTCTTCTTCTTTGCTTGGCGCCATCTTTAACAAGCTTTCGAGTAGTTCTGTTCCAATTGTATCGGCACTACCTGTACAAAGGTAGATTTTTATGGTTGTATGTTCAGATTTCAGTATCTCAATAGAATCAGGAAGGTTGCCGGTGAAACTATTGCCAGCAACCTAGTTGTCATGCAAAAGGACTAGAATCCATCTACTTCAAGCTAAAGCTACATAAAACCATATTTATGGAAGAGAAATGACACCTTATTACAAATTTAATATACAGAATCTGAAACATGACATGTAAACCCTCCCATCCCCAAACTATCACGAAAAGTGAAAACACTACAAATCAATAAAATTGTAACCAAAAGGGGGGATTTATGACTAAAACACACATGATTGCCCGACACTGCATAAATGTTTACATTTTTATTTATGACTAAAACACACATGATTGCCCGATAAAATTTAATAAAAAAAATATTTTAAATGGTAGAAGTAGTATTTTAACTTAGGCTACAAGTAACACTAGACTCTGAGGAATATTTTTTTCTGGGACATGTGTTTTCACTTTACAAGATACTCTGACCCTGTCTATCGTGACTCATGGGTTTTTTTTTTTTTTAAATTACACAAAAATTTAAAATTAACTAAAAAATATAAAAATATATCTCAAAAATTACATAAAATAACCAATAAAATTTTATATATTTTTTTATAATTTTTTATCTTTGTCTTTAATTTTTGAGTTATTTATTTTAATTTTTTACCTTTTCTATAATTTTTGAGATATTTTTTATCATTATATTGTCAATTAATAATAGAGGTTACATTACATTATTTTCTAAAATTAAAAAAAAATATTATATGAAAAATAAGTTTAGGATTTCCAACAATCCTAGAAATATATACTCCCTTAGTTCAAAAATATAAGACATTTTTTGAGAAATTAGATGTTTAAAAATGTAAAGCATTTTTAATCTTTTAAGGTGTAACCATTGCCTTTTTCTAAAAGTATCCCTATTGATAGTGATTTTATATTTATTATAAAATATTTAATAGGGATAAATGTAAAAAGATAAGGTTAGTTTGAAAGTAGGTAACTATTTTATTAGGAGATGAGATTCGGTTAATTTTTAAACCAAGAGGGGGCATATAATTTAAGGGCCAATTTACTACCCCTTAACCCTTAATAAATTAAAGGTTATTATGTACATATGACTTTATAGATTTCTTATCTAGTTAACACTCAAGTCAATTTGTTTTCGTTAAGTTTAATTTGGAGATGGATTATCGTGTTGTTCAAGTTTATGAATAGGAACAAGCAATGATCAATAAAAAGGTTATAGACTCTGTGATTAAGTTTAACGTTAAATGTTAAAAGCATGCTAATGGACAAGTTGAAGAAATGAATTAGTTATAGTGGCCATCACATAACATAGAAACTAGCAAAGACATAATAATTATAGATAAGAATGCAGCTGATTTTATCACCATATAGTATTAACATGCAAATTTAGGAGTAGTATTTTTCAAACATAGGACGATGATAATATTGACTAATTAATGAAATCTATCTTGGAGAAACTTACAAAACAATAATGTCCGTTACCAAATGCGATAATATGTTTTCTTGTTTTTACTCCAAAAGTGTAATTTGCTTCTGTTGAATAACCGTTGAGCCTTCGTTATCCATTCAGTCTAATCTCTCTAACCATTACTGAGAAAATCAATATATTACCTTCATGCATAATTTACCGAATTTAGGTTTTATTATAGATATAGATATAGATTATAGATTTTTCTTAGACATAATGTGTAGCACCACAAAAAGTAAAAAATTCTACAAAAAAAAAAAGGTAAAGACAATTGGCAGGCAAAAAGCAGGATTTTGAGGCGAATTTTAGCTTTTAACCACATTAAATAATAAATTTAGCTTTTGTTGGAAAGTGGGAGGAGATGTGAAGAAATAACAAAGTTGACGGCACCTTTGAATGGTACACATCTCAGCTACGTGGTCAATAATGTTGGCGTGTGATCAACGTGTCCGTAAAAAAAATCTTTGTCAAGACCTATGCTAGTGCTATACCTAGTGAATATAAATAGATGGCAGAATTTGAGTTCGGTAGCTTTGCAAGCACTTAAATTTACGTGAGTTTAAAAAAATTTTAAAATTTAGTTCAATTCAAAAAAAAATTAAAAAAACTTTATTGATAAAAAAATTAAAATACTCTTCATTTATTATACTAAATCACTAATTTTATTATATTTATTAATTTATTAATATCACTTATAAATTACATCCTTCTGCTAGACAATCAGTAACATTAGTTATTAATTTACTAACTTTACTCATTAATTTACTAACATTAATTATAAATTACAATAATTATAATAATTTACAATTGATGTTAATAAATTAACAAGTAAAATTTATAATTTAACAACTGATGTTGCTATTTGTAATTAAAAAATTGATGTTAAGTTCTATATAATTATTGACATGTCAACTTATGTAATTTACAACTCATATTCGTAAATTAATAAGTAGAGTAAGAAAATTAATAATTAGTAATCCTACAAGTGAAGGGTATTTTAATTTTTTCATTAGCGAAAGGATGCTGTGTATCTTTTTTTATAGTTGTTTTCCTTTCTTACTTCAGAATTTAACTAAAGGATGCTGTGTATTAGTGAATGCTTCAAAATATTGATAATCAATATCTTTTTTATTCCTATACAACTTGGATATAAAATTAAGAGTCAATTTAAATTTACATTTTTAAATCTATCACATCACTCACTCGAGACAAATTAGTTACAAATCCATTTTTTTATTCCTCTTGGAACAGTATTAGAAAGTAGAAACCCTACAAATATAAATAATTTCCCCTAAATTGAAACCGCTAAAATTTTATTTTTGAAATTCGTAAACAAAATATAAATGAATGCAGATCCGTTATTGCTGGCTAATACCCGGGGAAAAATAGAAGATCAAATACAATTCATCATCCTCTTTCCCTTGCCAAATTAGCCATAACATGCCATGCATGGAATGGCCTCACAAGCCCATTACCTTCACTCTGTATCCAATGGCTTCCCAAATGAAAAATGATTGATAGAACTATTGAATAGCTTTATACTCATGGTTATAAGTTATAATCTAACAATGCACATCCTATTCATATAGCATGGCAAACTTATTCTTCCAAAAAAATAAAAAACAGCTTCTACTCTACATATAATCTTATATATAACATATAACTCAAATCTTTTACATGGATTTTTACAATTTTTAAACAGAAAACCAAAAAGAGTTGCATCATTTTGAGCAGACCATACACGCTCCCACCAGTCAAAAACACCTGGTACCAGGTTGTTTCTACAAAAGATGCAGCCATGAACCTCAGGGATAAGATAAGAACCTTGTAGCTATGGAGAAGGACTGTCATCATCTGAAGAGCTGTAATGTCTCTTTCCATATAATCCAGGTAGGGGTTGTGGAAGCATAGGGTTTAGGGGTTGCGGAAGGAGGGGGTTTACTGGAACTGGGAATCTATGGGCAGAACTAACCATGGTCCTCTCGTTTATTAAACCGACTTCTTTGCAGACTCGGTCAAGAACCGATAAGAAATCTCTCACCACCATGAAGATTCTGAATGGATGAGCTTCTTCCTTTGCCAAGTTACCATGGAAATACTCTGTAATCTCCTTCACTAACGAAAGAGCAACACTTTCTTGGGCTTGAATCTTCAGGATCTCCTCCTCAGCCATCATCATAAATTTGTTCATTGATTCTGTAAATTTGTTACCACTTTCATCTTGCTTTGTCGCTTTGTTTAGTTTCACCACCTCTTTTATGTAAGAAATTCCTTTAGAAAGTTTGGAGACATCACCATTGAGAACCTCAGAATCCATAGCAGCAGCCTTCTTTACGTTTGCTAGCTCTGAACTCAGGCTCGAAACGACTTGTAGACCAAGCCTCCTACACTTGGCATCTTCGCTCGAAGAGGAGTTTGAAGTTTGTGGAGTACTCGAGAGACGAGCACCCTCAGTTCTTATAATTTCCTGTACAACAAAATGCAGTAGGGTGGTCTTCCCATCGGCGCCTTTAACATCAACAAGCTTGAGAAGCGTATCAAGCTTAAAGGCATGTGCATCGCCACGGTTTGTCCCCACATTCATACGGTTCCCCGTTTTGAGCACAGCCTCTAGAAGTTTCAAGAACATTCTACTGTTGCGCAGCTCCTCACAGGCAGCCTGCAAATTGGGTGCCATAGGAAAACTATGTTTCATCTTTTGACTTGTGCAAGAGGGGGTCATGGAGGGTAAAAAGGGGCATATGATTATTAAAATCTGAATGGCATGTTCTGAGAAAACAAGGATAAGCAGCATCACACGGAAAATACTGGAAAGAAGCTAGGGAGGTGTTAGCTAGAATGTCGTGGTGCATTTGATATGTGTGCACGTGCGCAGGTGTGCCAATGAAAGGATTCTCATTTCTCTTTTATTTTTACAATGTTTATCATGCCAGTTGTACTCATAATTCAAGGCTTTCTAATCCTTTCTATTATTTTTATGATCAATTTCCACCATTAAAATCACTTTCTGGATTCCACTAACTTTGAGGGTTAAAAAAGGTAAAGGATGCACATAAGGTCCCAGGGCTTGTCTCCATCACACAACAATCTATTATTCACTGCAATTATTGCAACTTTTTTCTCGTGTCACCTCAGATTGAATGTTAGATAATATTCTAACCACATTTCATGTTGAACGGCAATCAAAACCAATAAGAATGTATTGATCTTTCAAGAAATAGGTTAACCATATCTACAATTTCACTTTGACACCAAAAGATGTGATGTGATGCAAATAATGCAGACACAGTAAATTGAAAAAGAAAAAGTCGGAGAGAATGGTTACCTCCAGAGTTTCAAACGACTTCCTGAGATACTCAACTTCAGACTCAAAATTAGCCATGTAAAGCATGGCTTCCACCCTTTTGAACGCAAATGGTACATCAAGCACAGCCTTCAAGAATTTCTCTGCAGGACCAAGTTTGGTTGGTGAGTCATCTTTATGTTCCTTCAGTTTACGTTCTTCTTCTTTGCTTGGCGCCATCTTTAACAAGCTTTCGAGTAGTTCTGTTCCAATTGTATCGGCACTACCTGTACAAAGGTAGATTTTTATGGTTGTATGTTCAGATTTCAGTATCTCAATAGAATCAGGAAGGTTGCCGGTGAAACTATTGCCAGCAACCTAGTTGTCATGCAAAAGGACTAGAATCCATCTACTTCAAGCTAAAGCTACATAA